GTTCCTTCCCTTTGCTATTGGAAACTGAGATTGCATTCATCTTCCTTGCTTCCGGTTGATCACCTTTTATCTGCTTGATTCCTTCGGGCATTGGAAACTTCAGCAATTGGTGATATGTTGATGGTACAGCTTTTATTTCGTGTAACCATAGCCTTCCCAGGATAATGTTGTATCACATGTCACCATCTACTACTTCGAAGAGAGTTGTTTTCATGATTCCTTTAGCATTTGTGAGCAGTAAAACCTCTCCCGGGTCGTCACACTTGCAAGGTTGAATCCAGCGAGGAGATTTGATGTCGGAATAATGCTTCAGGTGAGTTTAGTTTGCTCCAATACTCTCCATTGTATGATATTATCCGAACTTCCTGGATCCACTAGAACACATTTAATCTTAAAATCTAACACATTTAAAGAAATTACCAGTGCATCGTTGTGTGGCAACAACAATCCATCTGTGTCTTCCTCCGTAAAAGTGATATCGTCTTCCCGGAGTCTTTTACTATGAGTTATTGATACTTTCGTCTTCTTCGCTACCGAAAAGGTGACCCCGTTAATCTCATTCATCCCGAAGATCATATTGATCATTTGGTGTGGGGGTTTTTCTCCTGCTTTCGTAGGTTCCGCATTGTCTATGTTACGACCATAATTGTTCTTAGCTCGGTCACTCAAGAATTCTCTGAGGTGACCATTCTTCAATATTGATACCACCTCCTCTCGGAGATGTAGGCAGTCCCATGTCTGGTGACCGTTCGTCCCATGGTACTCGCACCATAAGTTAGGATCTCTCTGGCTGGAATCGTATCTCATAGGTCTTGGGAATCATGCATCTTTAATGTTTCTCATGGTTGACACCAACTCTACTATATTGGCGTTGAAGTTATATTCCGATAACTTGGGGTAAGAAGGATCCCAAGACCCCGACGTCTCCTTATCCTAGAGTGATCTGTTGTTTCGACCATGATCGGTTCCTCTGTCAACGGTGAACTTGTTTGCTGCCCGGAAGCTCCTGGCACGGCCTTCCTTTCTCTCATTAAGGCAAAAATCGGCCCCTCGAAGTCCGTTTTTCCGCGTCATAGTCATCCTTTGATTTTTCTCTGCTCTTCTCCTATCCTTTGGCCGATGATGTAGAACCGACTTGGTCATCCTCAATCCTTATTTTTGACTCGTACCGGTTGTGTACATTCGCCCAAGTTGTTGCTTGAAATTCAAACAGGCTCTCCTTCAGCTTCCGGGAAGTATCTGAGCTTCTCGGGTTTAATCCTTTGGTGAATGCTTCAGTTGCCCATTTATCCGGGATAGCCGGAAGAAACATTCTTTTTTTCTGGATCGGGTAACGAACTCTCATAATAATTCGGATTCTCCCTGTGCGATCCTGAATATATCGGCCTTTCGTGAATGCACTTTTCTGGCCCCGGCATGAGCCTTGATGAAAGAATCCGCGAGCATCTCAAAAGAATCTATGGAATGCTCGGGTAATAATGAATACCACGTTAGGGCTCCCCTCGTGGGAGTTTCTCCAAATTTCTTTAGCAGCACAGATTCAATTCCGTGAGGAGCTAGATCATTCCCTTTTACCGCCGTTGTGTAGGTGGTAATATGCTCCTGTGGGTTTGAAGTCCCGTCATACATTGGAATTTCAAGCATCTTGAACCACTTCAGGATTAGTTCTGGTGCCGCACTCGGCTTTTACATTAATTGAATATACTTCTTCGAGTATGGGTCTTTCAATACTGGTGGCACGCCCGGGATTTGTTCTATGCAGGCGTTTACTTCCTTCATGAACCGTAAAAGTTCATTCTTGAATGGATCATTTTCGTTGTTGATACCGAATCTGCTCCCGCCAGCCCCGTCGGAGCCAACTTCACCCTCGTGAGTGTTGTTATCAACTCTCTACGTTGTTTGGTTTGTAGGAACACCGGGAGGAATTGGATCTCGTCTGTTTGCATTATTTGAAACCCCCGATTGCGCCTGCTTCAGTTCTGTCATGACATGATCCTATCGTATGAGATGGCATAGAATGATTGCATGTTGCTCTTGCAGGATCCTCACCGCATCCACGACATGTTCCTCATCAGCATCATCGGGAGTTGTATCTCGAACCTGTCGAGGGTACTGCCTGTTATGAACCGGTGTGGCGTCGTTCTCCTCATTGCGGGTGTCACTGATTGAATCCTCGAAATGATGTTGATCCCCTCGAATTTCTGGGTTGTACGTGTTGTTAACAGTGTTATCTGTCATTTTTTTGTGATTTTGTTTTCTAAGACAAAAATAATCAAATCGCGTTAGTAAAAAAGATAAGGATCAATTTAATTGCACGACTATCTAGGCCCCACGGTGGGCGCCAAACTGTTTACCCGTAAAATGGTACAGTTAAATTTATATGTGGTTTCTAGACAAGTGAACTAATTTGATCCTGAAATAATACAATAATTGAAGAGATGTATAATACTTAGCCTTGAAATATAGATGAAAACAGCAAAGATGACAATTCCAGGAACAGTATTTCCGGGCAGAGCGATGATGAAAGCAAGAAAGTAAAATTGTATAAAGCTGTATAGAATAGAGTGTAAGTTTTGCCAGAAAATTCGTGTCCTTTACAATGATAACTGAGCTCGCTATTTATAGCTATGTCTAGGGAAGAAAATCCTAGGATCATGTTCTCCTTTAATGTCAATTATGAGGGTCATTGATGAAGACGTAACGGTGAACATAAATGCCAAATTCTCTGTAACGGGCCGTCGTTCTTAATGCTGCAGAATATTCCCTATTAAATGCTACCAGGCGCAGAATATTTAACACACCTTTATGAACGTTATCCTTTCCGGTGATAAGCGGAATGGCTGTGTTTGGTCTTGGGTTCCACGTGTCCTCTCTTTAGACGTTCACGTGTCATATCATATTTCACCATATACAATATAATAGTATAGAAATCAGAAATAACCATTAGACATATTCATCATTAATTGATACTCTGAATTTTAACTATTTATCTTTCTATATTGTATTTAATTAGATTTCAAATAGTAATTGATTTATGCTATAAAGAAAATAGCACATTCACAATCCTATCCACGTTATTTAATTTCAAGAATATTTTGGCAAGTAATACGTTCAACATGCATTAAGTTCGTTATTAAGGCAATTATATTTTTCCTAATTTTGAAAAACTAAATATTAGAAATACTAACATGGAAGGTATTATAGTTTTGTAAGGTAAACTCTTAATCATTTTAAAGTCCTAAATATTAGTAATTCTTACATAATTCAAATAAGAAAAAATTTAATAACCAAAATTTTAGTTGATTTTAAGGTACTACATATTAGGGGGTAATAGTTAAATGACTATTTTATCTAGTGTGGAATTAAGTTTTAAAGGATAAAAAAGGCGAACAATATTTCTCTAAGGGTTTTCGTGCTTTTAATATAGTATAGATAGATGAAATGAATAAAAATTAACTCTTAAATTTAACTTATGGAAGCATGGAGTAGTTCATTGCTTGCATAACATAAGAAACAAGAAAATTAAAGCGAAGACTGTGTGCACACATTACTATCTCGAGACTCCGATGGATGTTTAAAACTATCTTCAAATTGATAAATTTGAGAAATTCTGCATTCCGCCAGAAAAATTTTGACGAGTCATTCCCCAAATTTCCGTTTTATAAGCTCCATTTCTCCTACGAGTAATTTCCCTTGAAGTGATCCTCAAAATTACTTATCACAAGCAGGGGTCGTTTGGTAGGGCGTATAAAAATAATGCCGAATAAGGTGTACTGCTAATGCAGAGATAAGTAATACACGAGCTAGTAATGCAAGCATTAGTTATGAAGAGATTATTTTTTATTCACCGTTTGGTGTGGTGTATTAAAAATTAAAATGCATTACATAATTTTTAAGAAAATTAGTTGTTTACAAACATGCCCTCCATATTCTTTAGCCTCAAGGGACTTTAAGGATAATTTTGTCTTTAACCATGCTAATGCATGCATTAATAGCCTTGGTATTGCCAATACTATGGTTTGCTATGTATTAGCTATACATAAGATAATACCAAATAGGTTGTATAACTAATACTTGCATTAGTAATACATAGGTTGAAAAGGAGTACTAAATAAGGGATTAGTAATACCAAAAGCTAATGCATGCATTATTTTCTCTAATGCATCCTACCAAACGAACCCGCATTGCTTAGATTATTCCAAGCAAGAGTCATGCATTAAATTGAGAATACATAGATTTAACCATAGTTTAGTATGGTTAAATCACTCAAATTACGTTTCTAAATAACGCCAGAAAGTCACTTTGTTTTCAAACTCCTTTCCTCGGAAGCATGCAACTAATACACAACTTGTATCAGCTGCATGTAAAACTCATGATTAACATAATGTCCTAGATTCAATCAGTCGACTATTCAACTTAGCTATTTTGTTCAAATAATGGCAAATGTTTAAATGATCAGTCTTATACTTTGGGAAAATGGTAAACTTTTTCCAAGTATAATGGTGAGTGGCAACAAAATCGGAGCCATAATATGCCTTATTATTACCTAATTATTGGTTCTTCAGATAAACCATTAATAATGCACGAGGAATTCACATTAGGCTAAAAACAATCAGTTTTCAGTTTCATGTAATATACTGTATGTCATTAAGACAAGTCAATTCGCTGATCCGCTTTGGATTTCACTAATTCTGATTGCCATAATCAAACAGCTACAAGAAAATAAGTAAAACCGGAAATCAATCAAATAAAATGTAGCATGGAAAGTTCTAGTAATTAGGGGGGAAATGCTGAAAGTGAGATAAGAATCTCAAGACTCAAGAATGGCTGGCTAAAGTAGCCCCTTGCAGTACATTATTTACACTCTGTATCCAATAAAACACCAAACAGAACAGCCTAATAGTGTACTAGAATGAGAAGCTATCCATAAAAAATCCAGGCCATATAATTCATTTCATGACATTATAGCTGGAAGGGAATAAGTACTACTGCAAAAGAGATAATAGAATAACAAAAATACTTGCATTCAACCGATAAATCAGCTATTGTGGGGAAGCATAATTTACAAAAAGGAGGCAGATGCAAAATCAATTCAATCGTTTCCATATACAACTATAACAAGAAAGGCTACAAACAAAAGAGCAAATGAAAGAACAAGGATTTGATTGCTCATACCACTCATACAGATTCCGTTCCCCTGGCGAAATGAAAAGCAAGCTCAATGCACCAGAGCAAAATGATGAAATCAAAAATAGAATTAAGCACGCTTAACCTCGTGATAACTAGCTGGAAACTCTGAATTTGAGGAATGATGACAGTTGAAATGGTCTTCTTTTGTCAAAAATCTGCAGAAAGAATCGACAAATAGAGTAGAGAAAAGAATCTTTGCAGACTTTAAACCCCCAATGCTTGCATCACTCAATTTATTGCATGAAGTTGCAGATGCAAACTCAAAGGTTAACGTTCTTTGCATCCAGCAATAGCGCCTTCAATCAGAGTTTGAATCATAGAAGTCACTGGGACATGGTGTCATGACTTCAGATTCAAGAATCTGAACAACCCTGTGCATGGTTGGCCTGTCATCGGGGCTTGAAGAGACACACTGTGTGGCAACTGAAAGAAGGGCATCAAGGCTTTCAGTCTGTACTCGTTCACAATGTGGATCAACTATCTCCATTCGTCTATTCTCAGATGCTAGAAAATTCAGCTGCACGATGAATATAACAAGGGTTTAGAAGACCAGTGATCTGAATAAAATACCTGGAATGCCAGCTATATGATCTGTTTGTCCTACTCTGGCAGGATACTTCACTACAAAAAGTGAAAAATTCTTTCACAAAGATGTAGGGTAATTGGAATGACGTTTTACCAAATGATCCAAATAGTGTTGGGTTTTCACATGATTAGATCAAACTAAAACAAAACTACAGATAAAATTTTGAACTCTTAAAATTGATTTGATCAGTGACAGTATTCAGTTTAGTCAGGTGCATATGACAATGATAGGTCTTTATTTAAGATGATTAAATTTTTATTATTTGTTGTAGATGTTAACATTATTTTGGTGCGTAAACATTATTCTCCTTCGGGCTCATGCCCATCCTTACCTATCCGGAAAAAATAAGGTTCACCACTATTCCTCATGCTCCTATTTAACATTCCTTAGTTCATTTTGCTTCAACTTTGTCCCTATTGTCCCTCATATATTTCATGGATTAATGACCACCAAGACTATTGCTGTTTTATATCGTTGCACAACTATCATCACTGTTTGTCTCAAGTGCAAGTTTTACCTCAACAATTACCATCTTTACTGATTGTCTCAAGTACAAGTTTTACCATAATAATTTTGTGTCCATACCCAGTCCGGTCCTTAATGCAGTCTCAACTAATAACCTCTTTTTTGCTTTTCTTTGAGAAACTAACCGACCTCAATCACGTCAAAACTTAAAGGGGTCAAGTTGGAATTACTTGTCCAGCAACATGCTTCCTCTACCTCCTTCCCTTGGTAAAATCATTCTCATCTCCCCCCCACCCNGGAATTGAGGTTGGGGCAAAGCATGGCAGTGGCAAATGTAGCTTTTCAGCCTTACGCCTTTAAGATCTCACAAGATGCAAATGTGTTTCAGCCTTACGCCTTTAAGATCTCACAAGATTGTGTGCTTTTGATAGATACTTGCACTCCAATAGGCAAAATTTTCTAGAGATAAGGATACATCAGTTAAACAAAATATTACAATGAACTCTTTAGTGCAAACATTTAAGATGATATATGTTTGTTATTCTTTCAGTAATTTCAACTTTGCCCCCAATAGGGACCCCTCAAGTGAAGTTCACATGCATCTCTGCAGTTTTTGGACTCTGGTAGTCAAAAAGAGTGAGATCGTGATAAATTATGTGCATAACTAAAGATAAAGGTCGAACTATCAAATTGTGGCATATATTAAGACTAATTTATGAATTTAGCTATATTTAGATAACCGATTAGCTTTTCAGTAAATATTTACTCTTTGCATCAATCACTACATAGTGGTTTTGGGTTGTCACCAACTTATGCTATGTATGTTAGGTCATTCTTATGTTCTTGCTTTAGGAAGAAACACATAGAAAAGAATATCAGAGATGATTAACTTAGCAACTTGAAGAACATCCATTTTTCTCCTTAGCGCCTTTAATTCAAGGAACAAATTTCATCATTGCAGTTAAGTAGACCATTCTTGTCTAATTTGCTATTCTCATATACCTTTTGAATTACAAATACGATTTCTGAGTTGAATCATAGGGGAGAGTGGAGACATCATATCTAGACCCTTAGGGATTAGATTTATGTATATGTTCATCAGATTTTCCCAATAGCCTTAACCTTGCCAATAAATAGCGATAATGACATTTGTAGTTTAAAAATAAAGTAAGCTACCCCACAAAGAGAATGTCAGGAATTTCAACCAAGAGAGAGAATAAACTAAAATTATTAGAAGTAAGATGTCATTAATGACATAACATACCCAGCCAACAATATTGAAGCCCTTCTCAATATATGATGCATCAGTGGGCCGCTTTCCACTTATGACTTCAAGAACCAGAACTCCAAAACTATAAACATCAGTCTTTTCTGTAGCCCTACCACTCTGCATGTATTCTTGAAAGAAAAAGTAGAAGAGAAAAGAAACACTTAAGCTGTAAAAACAAACAAACAACGAGATACCTCAAGTGAAGCCAAAATCATTAGCCCAAAGTGAAAGCATATAAAATCAGATTTATGCATGGCACTGCAAGGAGAACTTTTTTTTACAAGGTAAATAATTTATTAAAACTAAATTTTTAAGCACCTAGATAACCTCTCATCACATGTTACAACTTCTTATTTTTTATGAAATCATCACATCTTACAACTTGATGCAGCAGAGATGAATGTGCATAAAAAGCAGTATTTTCAATGCCACTTTAAAACTGCCCCTCAAGAGAAACTTTGAAATAGAACCATTTTCTCCCCCTCCCTCCGCCATTCAACTAGGCCTCATATTATCTTTTGTCAATATCAAGAAATATAAGCATGAAAGAAATCAGAGGTTGCAACATCTACAGTCAAAAGCAGTAACCATCTTGTACTTGAAAAGAAGTAGCAAAACCTGATTAAAGAAAGAGGAAAACAAGACAGCTCTCTCCCCAATCTCAACTATTACTAGCGACAGAAAGTCATTCCTTGCATAGTTTAAAATTTAAAACTTCTTAAATAAAAGATGAAGATAAATGTCTAATGATTGGGTGTACCTGGAGCTAAATACCCAAATGTGCCAGCTACAATTGTTGTGATGTGAGACTCCTCATCTCCAAGTAATTTGGCCAGTCCAAAATCAGATACTCGAGCCTCAAAATTACCATCAAGCAAAATGTTGCTAGACTTTATGTCACGGTGGATTACTCGAGGGGAACAATCATGATGTAAATATGCCAACCCTTTCGCAGCTCCCATGATTACAGTCAGTCGTGCACCCCAGTCTAGTTGCTCAGATCTCTCTGTATAAAATGTCAAAAACGATTTTTTAATGGAACCAAAAACCATAGCCAAATCTAAAACTCTCTACCCTGGAGATACAAAAAATATCAACAGCAATGGCAATTTAAGAAGATGAACTAGCTTAAAGGAATGTCATCTTTTTTTGTTGTTCTCTTTGCTTTCCGCCCTAGACGCTGAAAGCAAACGTCATGTCACTTTCCACATTCCTAACATGACTGTCATTTTGTTACTTTATTGGATAGAAGAACACCGAATCAACGAGATACTCAACCATTTTGACAATTCATTTTTTTCTTTTTGCTTGGTATACATACCAAAACTATGGATAAAAATTAGCTAAACATTACTACTGTACTGTCATGTATGTATGAATGTGATTCTGAGGCACAATAGCTGCAAAGGATAGCGCTGCAAGCTAGCTAACTGGTAAACTAAACCAAAGGAGTTTAAGTGTAAATTAAAAGTTACTTATAAAAAGGAAGTCTATATTCAAAGTTCTACAGCAGTATTTACACAATATAGAGCACATATGAAACATCAATGACGCACTAATAGATTCTTTGGTGCCATCAGAGCTTCTTGGTTAGCTAGGAAGTTACTCTCCATTATTCTAAAGATACAAGCAGTTAAATTGCCTAGACACAAAAACATTCCAGAGTGCCATCTGCACCATCCAAATGTGTAAACCATTCTACTCTTTTACTTACATTAAAAGGTAAGAGATTTATGCAACCAAGCCAATGGGTACTAATCCATATACGTTTAGAGCTGCATTAGGACAACAAACGCAAAGCTTAGTCAATCCCATTCAGAAACTTTCTCCAAAGGCTGGCAATACTTTTCCAATCAATTGCATATCAAACACTGCTTTTACAGCATTCCCTTCTGTCCATACAATCTGCCAGACCTTTTGAGACAATATTTCACTGGTTGGATCAATCAAAATAGCAGTAGAAAGTGATTCCTTATCATATTTTATCCGGGTCTGTCCTCGATGAACCTCTTCATACAAAATCTGTCAGTTTAATTGGGCTATCGAAGTGGTAAGTATTGTGAGAATAACTTGGTCTGTTTATGAATGTCTACTGTTTAAACGTCTCATGGCACTTTAGTGAGCTCATATTAATTAGCCAAGGAGATTATTACCATTACTGTTACTAGATTGCCCTTTTTATCTCCAACTGAGCCACACAACCGAAAGTTCAATCAGGTGCTGTACAGGGAAGATAACCAACCCTACTGTGCTTTGAAAAGTCAAGATCGCTAAAATCTCAAATATTTGCCAATTAGAAGAGAAAAGTCAGAAAATCTCAGCAAACCCAGCTTATGTGCTAAATCCGCAAAATAACAAATATTTTCACCAATTGTTAAGCACCAGGACATTGTACAAAGGGACGTATATCTCACCGTGCAGAACTTCATCTAGGCTACCTCCGGATAAGAAGTCATATATCAACAACTTCGATGTTGGAGAATTGCAATATCCTCGCAGATTTACCAGATATCGGTGCTTAATGCTTCCAAGAATTTCAAGCTCCCTCTCAAAGAACCTATCAAAGCCTTCATTCATCTTGATAATTCTCTTCAAGGCAAATACATTGCCGTCATCCATTGCAAGCTTGTATACAGTTCCAAATCCCCCAGAACCAATTATGTGTTCTCCGTTCAGAGTCTCCAGCTTTTTGATGATATCCTTTGAAGAGTAAGGCAAATCTCCATGAAACATGACAATCGATGCACCTGAGAATTTAATAATTGTAAGCCTTTTTACATGGAATTCAAAAGCATAAAGCAAATAAAGACGAAGAACTTTAGAATTGTAACTTCCACATAGGTTCTAGATAAAGACCTGCACAAACATCCATTGCAAGGCTTTTGCCATCATTTTTACCCAGTCTCTTGTAGAGGAAACAGCCCCAGAAACACATCAGTGCCACCAATAGCAGAGCACCCACAGTGGCAGATGCACTTATCAGTAGTCGACCATTCTTACNTAGTAGTCGACCATTCTTACTTTGGTTTTGGGCTGAGAAACATGGAAATTAGTATGAAATTCACCATAAAACATGAATGGAAGGAAGTGAAAAAAATGAAAGAAAGAAAACAGGGAAATAAAAAAGAAACAGTAGAAAAGGCTACACGTCCAATGACAAGTAACTATTTCATCAAGTCATGCTGTCAACATATAATGGTGCTGCTTAAAACTATGAAGTCTGCACACTTATGTGATTCCATCATTTGAAGTAAAAAGTTTTCTTGTTAGCCTGACAGATGAACAAATCCTTCACAAATATCATTTGAAATTCTAGTCAACAGAAATTACACAAAAACAAAAAACATGTCGTAGCTGTTGCAGTACCATGAATTACCTTTACATATCTTAAAAGTGAGAAATATATGGATACTTACCAAAAAGTGAGAAATATATGGATACACTTTTAAAATCACTTTTACATATCTTAAAAGTGAGAAATATGAAGATACTTAACAAAAAAATGTATACTAGATCTTAAATTTTTAGAACAAAGAGATCTAGAATGTGAACCCCTATGAAGATAGAGGTGCTTCTTTTCCAACGACATTACTGCAGTTAAATCATTGTCATGTTCTCTTGTCTACTTGATATAGGAAATCCAGAAAAGGGCAAGTTGTTATCTTTGGAAGCCGAAACACTACAAGCTGTTTTTTTATGACCGAGAAATCTGCCTGGGGCCAATCCTTAGGTTCAACCACGGCCTTTGAAAGTCAGGGATAATGGGCCCACCCCTCTACCCCTTCTCCAATAAAATACCAGGATTAGTTCGCATGGCAGATGGCTCAAACCTGAGACCTAAGTCACAAGTCCCTCAACCTTTGCCACTTGACCTAAGATAAGGGGAAAAGGATTCTGTAACTAGGAGTCCTTAAGCATCTAAGAAATGATTCTGTCGATATTAGTATATGCCATCTTATAGACAAAGAAATTGGACTTGATATCTGACTATGATTTAATGCTGATAATGTGTCACATTTACCTGCAACTGGGGACCGGGAAAATGAAGGACCTCCAGCTTTACAGTCCTGACTGATTTGCTGGCCACACAAATTACGATTTCCAAGAAATCTGCCATAAATTCGAAAATCAGAAATCATGTAAAACCAAGCCAATCAGTGCTTAAGTTGTCAACTACAAGTGTTAGGTCAAAATCATATCAGGCAGCCATTTTGTGCACATATAATCCAGTACAAGTCTTACTCCCCTTTCTGATGATAGGTACTAATCAAGAATATGGTTGTATCAAAGGCTAAGACTGCTATGCACTTCCTTTTCACTAATACACATCTTACTAACCAGTGTGGTTATGGACTCTCAAGAATTTATGGACCTCAATCCTAATTTCAAATGCAATTGCCAATTAAGGCAACACCCTCAGTGTCATCCCAGAAATAGTTACAATCTTTTTTGGTGGATTCCTGAAAATAAACAGTTGTGCAACACAAGGATGCTGATAAAAAGGGCATCCTTGTGCACCAAGCTCCCGCCATG